CTCAGCTTCCAGCTCCCCAGCTACTCCGCGTACTACAGTTGTACTACCTTCGACCGCGAAGCGGTGTAAATTAAGAGGCAAAGACATTCTTGGCAACCAGAGCTTCTCACACTTTGGGGTTCAAGTTCTGAAGTTTAGCATCATCTTGCATGTCTTTAGTTCTTGCTGAAAAAACTGTTGCCCCATGTTTTGAACAAGGTCACTCGTTTGCAAGGAAACAAGCTGAAGGAACTCGCAACCATGAAGCCAACGCCCGCTTGAAAGCAAACATTGCGCTCGTGGGGAAAAAAGGAGAGTTTGATGAAGCCATAGTCCCGCAAGTACAGTATGGATTGAGATACAAGGCGCAAGGTGGAGAAGTCTGTGTCTGTGCGGGTTGTTCAAGTCCAGCAGGATTCGGGCGTTTGTAACTAAGCTGTGGAAGAACACAGCCGGGTAGGGAACGTACTCTTTGCAGTGGCAAAGGGAACGCACAGGCGCGATCCAATAATATACAAAGCGCACTGAAAACGCAGCTATCGAAAACGCGCCAGGCGGTCACCTTAGGTTTGTAAGTACTCCTACGTACTCCTTTCTGTAAGACATTCACCTCTGGACTCTCTACACTAAAATCATAGCTCTCTTTCAATCAAGGTCAACAAAATAGTTAAGGATGTGGGTTCACGCGCAAACAAGCTAAATGTCGTTGATCTTGTTCTTGAAGACGCTCGAAGCATCTTGAAGCGAATGTCGGCCAAGTGTAGAGTGTAGAGCATAATTCTAATTGTAAAGAATGGAAACCTTACTGATTTGATCGGTGGAACTGTCCTGTCCCCAGTAATCTGAACCTTTGTACAGCTCACGTGCATTCGACTGGGTCACCCGTTCCGGAGTCGCCCTGCCGAGCCGAAGATCTTGAGGATCCTTTCAGGGCGAAAACAAAGGAACAACAGTTACGCTTCCCTAAAAATGTAGGAACCAAACGAATAGCGTGAGCTATCCTGCGTCCTAGTAGCTGACTCGTAGGTAGTAGCGACTCCCTAGATACTAGCTACCTCTTCTACTAACCTACCTCCCCCAACCAAACAAACTTCTATTGTACGCGCGCATCATCACTCTTCCGGCCATTCAATGTTGCGAGGCTGTGTTGGAGTAACACAATGTGGATGGACAAAACTGGTCAAGGAAAGCACCTAGTAAGCAGAGAATTGTGAAAGATTGTTTAGCAGGAGCGACAATTATGATTTTTGTTATGTCATTACCCTCCTGGAGGTGCTCGCAGAAGGATCATTTCACATCTATCCTCTCTTCCTTCCTCTGTACGCTACACATAATATATATATATATAGGTTTCAGGAAACATCAAGACCAAAAGCTAACTCGAAGCAGCAAAAGCAGCACTCTTTTGCAGTTTGGTTAGATTTGTGGTCTTGATTGAATTAAATGATGTCACATTCAGATGAACCGCCACCGATCCCAGTTGACTTGCTACCAGGCTCCCTGAAGGAAAACGGGTCCATGGGTGTCGCCAACTAGTGGTGAAAACAAAGAGGCTCAAGGAGCAAGGACTAAACCATCCTGTGCTTTCAGGGATTTCAGAGCCCGTGGCGCCTGTCCCCGGTTTAGTCTTTGGATAAAGTTCTTGAAATACCCAATTCATCAGTGTGTGGCTCTGCAAAGGGCCTGATGCGCGGAGGCGCTTCGCCAGGTTGAATCCGGTCGGATCAGGGTGAGTCAATTCATCCGCCCAAGTGTTCAGGTCTCTCTTGACATGGGAGGGGGCCAGCTGGCAGCCCCCTTGGCGCAGTGAAAGGACTAGTTGCATCAACTGCTGCCGTGGGCATCTTCCGGGTCGATTGATTCAGCGTGGCAAAGATGTTGCCGTGGTTGTTGGAGATCAACGGTATGCGGAACTGAAGGCGGCTGCGTACGCCTCCATCAAGAAGGAGGCCAGCAATAGTGAACCCAACATTTACAATTTACAGCAAAGGGATGTTGGCGCCCGGGTTGGCTTTCAGGAAGGCCCAGAAAAACCCGCATCTTCCGCAGGTGGAGCTGAAACCACCACACATCCTCCTTCGAGACGGCTCTTGGTCACTGAGCCAACCTCCCACATAACATTCCCGCATCACCTGCGCTGGCATCACTGGCCCCCCCGCCAAGGAGATGGGCGGCAGAACGGGGTAGGTGGGAGAAAATGTCCACTGAGGAGAGTTGCAATCAGCTTGGCAAGTCCGGACCAGTTTGGTCTACCACTTGACTTGACAGCTCCCTTCCATTGCTCGCCAGGGGCAGGGAGGTGCTGCGGAGGATCTCCAGCCTTGTTGTGCTTCTCCTTGGCCATTTGCACAATCGGGCCACGGGCTGTATCACAAAGCCCAGCCCAGCCAGGTGTTTATTGGTCCCACGAGAGTCTTCTTCCAACTCAATTAGAGTAGCCAGCAAAAACGCATGTATGGAGAGGCGCTTCGGCCGATCGAAGGAGCTCCACAAACACAAACGCCCAGTCCACCATGGGAAACAGGTAGTACATGATCCGGAGGAGTAGAGTTGGGAGGCCACCCAACTTTGTTGGTCCACAAATCCCCATCAATTTAGGCAATCTAGTTCTTCCAGTCCATCGGATGACCGCCCCCCACGTGTTTCAGAGCCTATGGCGTCTGCACCCGGAGGTGTGTCTGATGGGGGAGACGCCTGGAGCCATGGACACAGTCCATGACGGTGGGCGCCGTGGTCTTTTCCACTGTGTTCTGTTGAATCCATTGATTGGCCCCCCCCAGGATCCATCATAGATTGTACGGATTTTGTCCCCCTCATGCCGCCATGGGGCAAAGGTCCTGTTCTGGACAGTGGCACCTTTGGGCTGCCTCGGCTGGGGTAAAGGGGCCATCTACGATGCCCATCATCTTCTCCTCTTCAAAAAGTGGCCTTGATAGCTTGCGCAAAGTCTTCCGCCGAGGTATAGTTGGACCTCCCTTTTGGTGGGGCGAGATCCTCTGTCAGGTCTGGTTGGCCACGGAATTCTTCCTTTGTGGGGGACTGGAGGGTCGGTTCGGTTCTTTTTGAAGGGGACACCCTGCCGAATCAAAAGGGTGTGTTCCCGGTCCGGGTCCTCTGCCTGGTGGGCCGGCTCAATGATGGCCTCCAGGTCCATGTTAGGTGCCACCAACGCGTGGCGTACAGTACCTTGTCCAGGAATGGAGGGGGGAAGGGGGACTTAGACCCTTGGTTGATGGAGTGCAGAACTGCTGCGACATGGGGGTCACAAGGATCAGTGGAGGATCCAGCCAACGCGTCAGCGGCACGGCCGGCGCCTTCCAAGATTGCTCCTCAAAGCGGCCAATCTCTTTCTCACGTTCCTCCGCCTCACTTAGATCCAGGGTGAAGGAAGTCACCGAGGGGGCCTCATCAGATCCAGAGGCCGACATGGCAACAAAGATGAAAAGGAGGAATCACAGGAGATATTTTCACTTTAGGTTCCCAGGCTTGAGCCAAAATGGCAAAGCATTTTGGCTAATGAAATGTATTCCTGAAACATAACCTGCTTTCCACAGGTTCCAAGCAGCATGTACTAAGTATTATATATATATATATATGCGCGTGTCCCTTTTTCCATTTCTTTTGATGTTCATTGTCCTTTTCTTTCTGTTTTGCTGCCCTTCACTATTTCATGTTTGATGCTCGTGTGACTCGTGTTTCTTTACCTTTTGTTGTCCATGATCCATGGCTTTCGGCTCTGCTTGTTTGCTAAGCAGCGGTGTTTCGGCCTCGGGTCAGGCTCAACTTTCTTTTGCGTTGATAGTCTGCAGTCAAATCGACCAATATTCATCTCTCCCTCTCTCTCTCTCTCTGTCAAGCGAGCACAATTCCTCATCTTCCCGATGTACTGGTGGCCGTGCCGCTATCGGTGGACCCTCCATCCTTGGCAACACAAATCACTTGTGCAAAAATGCAACTGCTACCATGACAAGAAATGTGGCTAAAGTGTCGTAACACCTGCGTTCACTGCGCTTTGCTGGCATCAAACTCAACTGAAGCAAGATCCCTGCACCAAGTGCCAAGTGCTGTGAGGATTAAAATGCTGTGTCAACTGTTCGGCACTGAGAACACCATGCCACATGCAAGCAGCAAATAAGGAGCACAAGTCCCTCATCACGGGTAACGGATTCTTGGCAGACTCT